CTTGTGGGGGGTCAAAGGGTAGCATCGGGTGTCTTCTTTAGTCATGTTCCACCTTATTTATTTATTTTTCAACTAAAAAAAAAAAAAATCACATCTAAAGCTGTGCAGTGATGGCGCACACCTTTAATCCCAGCACCCTGGGGGCAGAGGCAGCCAGGTCTCTGTGAGTTCAAGGCCAGCCTGGTCTACAGAGTGAGTTCCAGGACAGCCAGTCTCAAAAAATATAACAACAACAACAACAAAATCATGTCTGTTATTTAGTGTGGGGTGCACATATTCCATGGCATGAACATGGAGGTCAGAGGACAACTTTCAGGAGTTGGTTCTCTCCCTCTGCCACGTGGAGAGGGATTCTGGGGATCAAACTCAGGTTTTCAACCTTTCCCAGCAGAGGCATCTCATTGGCTTTCATTACCTTATTTTTTGAGACAGGGTGTCTCACTGAATCTGGAGCTTGCCAATTCAGCCCCAGCTCGTTTGTGTGTGTGTGTGTGTGTGTGTGTGTGTGTGTGTGTGTGTGAGAGAGAGAGAGAGAGAGAGAGAGAGACAGAGAGAGAGAGAGAGAGTCCTATCCTGCCATCTTGGATCCAGGGATTAAACTCAGGTTTTCAGGACACTGTGCAAGCCTTTCTACCCACTGAGCCCTCACAGTGGCCTGCTGTTTCTGTTTTATTGAGATAGCATGGCCTCCTTCAGCAGTATCCATGGGAGAGCAGGATCTGGAACTCCTGAGCCCCCTACCTCTACCTGTAAGACACTTGGATTACAGATGCTGTGGAGTTTGAATGAGAATGACTCCATAGGCTCATGTGTTTGAGTACACACACAGTCTTCAATTAGTGGCACTGTTTGTGAAGGATTGGGTCACACACACACACACACACACACACACACACACACACACACACTCCTACAGTTTGACCTCGTTGAAGGAGGTGTGGCTTTGTTAGAGGAAACATGTCACTGGGGCTTTGAGGTTTCAAAAGCCCACACCCGGTACAGTCCCACCTCCGCCCCAATCAGGATGTGAAGCTCCCAGCCACCACTCCAGAGCTCTGCCTGTCTGCTTTCCCATATGATGGTAATGGTTTAACTCTCTGAAACTGTAAGCAAGTCCCCAATTAAATGCCTTGGTCATGGCATCTCTTCACAGCAATAGAGCAGTGAATAGAACAAGACAGAAAGAAGTGTAGCTCTGTCTATGGCTAAAACTTAAAAAAGGAAAGCGCACTTAGCCAGGAGGTGGTGGTGCATGTCTTTAATCCCAGCACTGTGTGTGTGTGTGTGTGTGTGTGTGTGTGTGTGTGTGTGTGTGCTGGGGGTGAACAGGAGGGGGATCTCTGTGAATTCAAGGCCAACCTGGCCTACAGAGCAAATTCCAGGACAGGTTCTAAAGCTACACAGAGAAACCCTGTGTCAAAAAAATGCTTTCTTTAGGAGCTGGGGAGGTGAGTCAGTGGTTAAGAGCACTGGCTATTCTTCCAGAGGACCTGAGTTCAATTCCCAGCAACCACATGACAGCTCACAACTGTCTGTAACTCCAGTTCCAGGGATTCGACACCCTCATACAGACATACATGCATGCAAAAACACCAATGCACATGAAATAGAAATAATAAGATTAAAAGCATAAAGTAAACACGCATAACCCTGTCACTCAGGGTTATGCGCTCCCCTTGTCTGCCTCGGTGGGTAGGGTCACACACAACACTGCAAACTTGTGCACATCCTGCTGTGGTATGACCTCAGGATGGCTGCATGCTGGCCGTGGACTGCACTAATTCTCCCATGGAGCCTCACTCTCTATGTGCCCAAGACTAGTTCAGGACAGTAGCATGCGAAAACGCCAAAGACAGCACGAGCTGCCCATGGTTGCTGGACTTTGGTGAGAACTTCCGGGCCTTGTAAGGCTGCCCTGTGAATTCTGATATTGGCTTTTCAGCTGGCAGAGAGGGCCGTTGCCAGGGTTGCAATGGAGTCACCTGCCAACAGAGTTTTCGTTCGTCAGCATTTTTATCTAAGCGCCTACATTTTCAAAATAAATGCTAGTTTACCCTTGTGTCTGCTTTGCCCAGTGGAAAATTGCTGTGGGCGCTGTGAGAACTACCCCACAGAGGCTGCACTTCCCACAGGTGGAGCTGGTTCCCAGGCATGCCCCTCCCCACACCCAATGCTAGAACTTTGGGTGCTGGTTGCCAGAGGGAAGGCTTTCTTACTCACTGTGAACTAGAGAAGTCTAGGGACCCTCCTCAAACTCATCAGACTACAAGGCGACAAGCTGCTATTTTCTTTAAATCTAGTCTAACTTTATCTTACTGAGACAAGCTCTGAGGCTTTGAAACCCAGGCTGTCCTGGAACTCACAGAGACCACTTTGCGTCTACTAAGATTAAAGGTTAAGCCGGGTGGTATGGCCCAGGCCTTTAATCCCAGCACTCTGGAGACAGAGGCAGGTGGATCTCTGAGTCCCAGGACAGCCAGGGAAACAAAGAGAAAAACCCTGTCTCAAAAGCCAGAAGAAGGGAGGGAGGAGGAGGAAGAAGAAAATTATTACTAATATTAAAGGTGTTCTCCACACCTATTTCTTTAAAATAATTTATTTTATCTTTATTTATACGGAAATGTCTATATAAGCGTGCGCATGTGTATGGGGGAGGGAGGGGTTCCTCTGAGACCACTTAGACTTGTGGGCAGTTCTGAGCTGCCCCTTGTGGGTGCTGGGAGAACTTGGGCCCTCACAAGAGCAGTAATCACTCTTAACCACTGAGCCACATCTCCAGCCCCTGCCATTTAAAACCCCGTTACACAAAGACCAAGAGTCTGGAGGTAAAGAGAAAAAAACTGAGTGACCACCATTCTGGCTATTCTGGTGCTGTACCTACCGCGCCATCCTCCAGGTGTTAAGTGGGAAGGAGGCGTGAAGGACATCTGTGTAGGCAGGCAGAAGGCCTGCTTCTCTGATGCAGGGAAACTGAGCATGCCCAGTGGCTGCTGGGGACGGTAGGTTCCCCTGGCTTGGCAGTCACTGTCTATTTGTGTGTCTTTGAGGGCCACTGAGGGTGGGTGGGAGAAAGAACAGGCCAGGAAAGAAATCTTTGGAGGTCAAAGAAAGAAGCCTGAGTTTATCCTCAGGATCAGGAACGCATGTGGGGACATGAGGTCAGGCGCTCGCGCAGCAGCCGGCTTTTCTGAATCCTTGGCCAGACAGATGTACTGCTGCCCCGTGCTGATGTGAAGTTAGATGTTTGATTTGAAGAGTCACATTGCCTACCTGAAAAGGCCCGGCTCCCTAAACTCTGCTTCTCTAGCCAGTGGGGTTAATTTATACAAGGCAGCTGGCCCGTTTTTACCTTAGATTGCGTGAGTCCTGTGAGAGATGAGGGGACTGAGACTCCTGGGCTGGCCTTAAACTTTTGGTGGCCTTCCTGCCACAGGCTCCCAAATGTGGGGTTTGCAGACATGAATCAGTGCCTGCCTCACTCAGTGTTCTTGAATCTTAAATCCCTTTTTTCCTTGAGGGTAGCCCATGACTTTTATTTTTTTCAGGGGATGAAGAATATGTTGTTAGTTTTTACTTCCCAACTTGGTTCCTAGAATAAAAACAGCTGTGCCCAGATGCTTACAAGAAGGTGGGTGTTTGGAGTCCTGGTTGGAGCAGGGAGAGTCTAAAGCCTTGGCTCTTTTCTCCTTGCTGATTGTAATTCTCTATGCTGGTCACCACCTATAAAATGGGCCCGTGTGCACCCTGTGACACGGACACTTACTTGTGCATGCTGGGTTCCTCCTTGACAACATGGCATTCATCCCTAGGTGAATTCATTTGTTCACTTGTGCATTTTGCCAATTGCAAAAGGGTCACTGCCGTGTGCCAGACACCATTCTAGACACTGAGATAAAGTAGGGTGCTTGTTTTTGTGGTGCCTGAAATCCCCCCTTTTTTTAAGTTAGGGAGTGGTTTTTATTTATTTATTGTGTGTGTGGGGTTTCTTTCTTTGTTTGTTTGTTTTGGAGACAGGATTTCGCTGTGTAGTCCTGGCTGACCTGTCGTTATGCCAGGCTGGCCTTGAACTCAGAGATCTGCCTCCCTCTGCCTCTTGAGTGCTAGGATTAAAAGCAGGCAACTCTGCTGCTTGACTTATGTTTATTTAATAATAAAAGATAAATAATAATGTTATTCTCTGTGTGTGTGTGTCTGTGTGTGCCATAGCACACTTGTGCTCAGAAACAACTCTTGGGAGTTGGTTCTCTTTGTCCAACTCAGGTCCTCGAGCTTTCATGGGAAGCATTTTTACCTGTGAGCTGTCTTGTTGGCTGTGTGGTAAAGTCTTTCAGTAAAGACAGATTTAGACTTGGTTGTGTGACTCTGTGTGTTGGTGACATAATAGGGAAGTTGACACAAATGTAGGCCTAGATCCAGCTTTGGATAGGGTGTGGAGGCTGAGGCCTGCTGTGGGGATGACATGAGGGAAGGAAAGGGGAATATCAGGACCCAGGCAGATCATAACAGACAGAGGGAGGCTCTGAACCTCCCCAGGGTCCAGGAACAGGTGGATGGCACCCTGGGCCTATGGAACATCCCGATCTTCATTCTGTGGCCAGAGTCAGGTCCTTGTTGGTTTGTTTTCTTTCTTTTTTAAGGCAATGTGGCTTTGGCAGACTCAGAACTTGCTATGTAGACCAATTTGACCTCAGCCTTGAACTCACAGAGATCTGCCTGCCTCTATCTCTCAAGTGGTGGGATCAAAGGCATGAGCTGCCACACTCTCCTTAAAGGGTTTTCTAATCAAGGGAGCTAGGTGGCTGGATCATGGCTTGAGAAGGTGCACTCTAGCAGACAGCTGGTTTGGTCTGGGAGGCTTCTGGAGGCCAGGCAGATACGATGTAGGCTGGACTAAAGGAGGACTCCAGAGGTGTTACCATGGAGGCCTTTGACTTCTCCAAATCACAAGCAAAGTCCCATTTTCAGGCTGCTGTGGCTCACTCTGTGATTTTCTTCTCCAGAGGTGGCAAATGATACGGTGACTAGCCTGCCCGGGGCCACCGTCACCCTGATCTGTCCTGGGAAGGAAGCAGAAGGCAATGTCACCATTCAGTGGGTGTACTCGGGCTCGCAACAAAGACGGTGGATTACCACGGGGAACACACTGCTTCTGCCGGCTGTGCAGTTCAACGACACCGGGAACTATTTATGCTTCCTGGATAACCACCTGGTTGGGACTGTGCCCTTGCTGGTGGATGGTGAGTTGTGTCCTCAGTGTCCTTGGGATTGGCTCCTAGGGCAGCTCCTATGTCCTTAAACATGTCCCTGCATGCCAGAGCAGTTCCCCCAATTTATCCTTTAAGTTTGTTGGGTTTTGGCTCAAGAGTTCTGCCAGTGAGAGGAGGCCATGTCGCTGGTGGTAGAAGCTGTCTGGCTGAGCGGCAGATTTAACAGCACCGAACTTACAGTCAGGTATCCTGGCATAACTCGGGCCACATCCCTCAGATTCCTCTGGCAGAGTGAAGTGAACTTTATCGTGTTTGTGTAGAGTGCTGCAAAGATTGTCTGAGCGTGAAAGAAACTCTCAGATGCCATACCCCAAGGGTTATCAGGTTAAGGGGTCCCTCAGCTCCAATGAAGACTGCAGGGACCATGCTTTGTGTGTAAGCCCTACTCTCAGCTGCGTTCTTCCTTGCACCTCATGGAGTCCTTCCCGTGCTCCTGTTATGTCAAAATCAGTTAATTTCAGTGAGCAAACAGAAGAGAGGAGGACCGAGTCTGTGTGAGGACACCAAGGGAGCTTAGTTTTGCATCATCTTTTCAACCCTTTAGAGCTGCGGTTCTCAACCTCCCTAATGCTGTGGCCCTTTAACACACGACCCTTGTGTTGCGGTGACCCCCAGCCATAAGATTACTCCGTTGCTACTTCATAACTGTAGTTTTGTTACTGTTATGAGTTGTAATGTACATATTTTTGGAAGAGGATTGTCAGAGGGGGTCACAACCCACTGCTTTAGACAGAAGCTAAAGAGGTGTTGATGCCTCTCTTCCCTTGCTGGGGATCTGCTGGCCAGCTGTGTCATTCCACCTGCGGCTCCATGCTCCATGCTGAACCAAGTAGTCCCCTCAGTCCCCTCTGCTGAGAAGAGTGATGTACGTAGCACATGTGCCCAGGGAGCCTTGCACGCACCCCTCCATCTTGATGAACTCTCTTGCAGTTCCTCCAGAGGAGCCTAAGCTCTCCTGCTTCCGGAAGAACCCTCTTGTAAGTGCTACTTGTGAGTGGCATCCGAGCAGCACCCCCTCTCCAACCACCAAGGCTGTGCTGTTTGTGAAGAAAATGTAAGTGATGGGCAGCGCTGAGTGTTCAGGGTTAGTCGATGCTCATTGAGGCCCCAGAACTGGGGGGCAGGGTTGGAGGTCTGGACGGGGCCATTTTTTTCCTTTTTATGTTTACTTTACTTTGTGCATATGAATGCCTTGCCTATGTGCATGTATGTGTACCACACGCATGCCTATCAGATCCCTTGTAACTGGGGTTATGGATGGTTGTGAGCCACCATGTGGGAGCTAGGAGTTGAATCCAGGGTCCCCTGGAAGAGCAACAAGTGCCTTTAACCACTGATCCCTCTCTCCAACCCCAGGATCAATGTTTTATCAGTAGAAAGTTTTTCCAAGTCTGTCACATGACCTGTGTAAGGCCTTTTCTTTGATCCACAGTTACTCCAAATATTTAAAAAATAAATAAGTAAAAAGAGTTTCTTTGGCATAAAGGAACTGAGCCCTATGCTGGACTTGGTGCTAATTCAGTTTAAACTCAACAGCTGTGGGAAATGGGTGCTGGGGTTCAATGAAATTAATTTGCTTAGGGTCATCTAGCTAGTTAGTGGTTCTAGGTGGTCAGGAAGAGAACCTAATCCCAGGATGGGCCCAATTTCCATCAAGGTCCAAAGGTCTGGGGTGTTTCCCTAAAGAAAGTGCAAATGGCCCAGGGTGGGGTGGTGGGCTGGAAGGATCTTATCAAAGCCTTGACTCTGTGAGCATTGTTAAGGCAGGAAACAGGGAGTGCTCATGGGTGGTGGTGGTGAGGTACTACCCATCCAGGAATGAAGTGGGGACTGGGGTGGCTTCAGCCAGGGAGGTGGAGGAAGTGGAGCAAACTGTAGTCTCCATCCCCGAGCCAAGTGTATTAAGCCCAGATATTTGTAATTAAGTTTGAGTGGTCAGAGTATGGTGGTCCTCCTTGTTGGTTCTTTTTGTGGGCTCAGTTACCATCGGTCAACCACAGCCCCAGAATATTAAGTGGAGAATTCCAGAAGCAAACACACACATGTTTTAAGTTGTGTCACTCTCAGCATCCTTATGAAATCCCACGCTGTCCTTCCTGCCCAGGCTACTTGTGCTATTGCACGGAACTCTTAGTCACCTGGTGGTCCGTGCTCGCAAGCCTGGCTCCAGCAAGGGCAGAAAACATGAAAAGCGCAGGTTCATCCGGCAGTGAGGTACTACCGCTGGGCGTTAGAAGCACACGGTGTACCAGGGTATGGCCTGGTACTCTGAGGTCTCAGGTGTCTTGCTGAAGGGTCTGGTAAACACCCCCTGCACATGTGGGAGAATTTCCATATTGCAAAGCCAGTGTGGTGGTCAGCAAGGGTTAAGCTCAAGGTTCAACCTGAGTCTGAAGTTGGTTACTTGTTTTCCAGTGGCAGGGAAAGTGGAAGTGGGAAGGGTCTCAGGCTTCCAGGTCAGGCGGGATGGTATCTGATTTCCCTTGACCATCTTCAACCTTCAGAATCCTTTCCTATTTTACCCTCACCTTTCTATTCCTCCTTATATTCGAGCTTTGGTAATGTGTGAACATATCCAAAGCCTGCTGTATCACCTGAGGGCTGGTCTTTTGAGTGCTACGACAGGGAAGGACTTTTCTTATTCATTTCTGCATCCTTTATAGTGTGAAGGACAAGACCCAGGAAGGAATTCAGAGGTCATGACACACTGACAAGAGAGAGACCAGAGGGGCCTTCTCCTCTGCTCCTCCTGCGTTGGCTGGGGTCTAGACCCTGTCAGATAGATAGGTATTAATGGCATTAGCATCTCCATTTTCTAGGGAGAAAAACAAACACTGGGTTGAGAAACTTGCTTAGAAATTAATAGGACTGGACATCAGCTGATTTGAAGCCTGGAAGCTAGACATCAATTCCCAAGCTTTCAATCCCTAGGCCACACTTACTTCTCTTGAAAAAACAGAAATTGCCGAGCGTTGGTGGCACACACTTTTAGTCCCAGCACTCCGGGAGGCAGAGGCAGAACTCTCTGTGAGTTCAAGGCCAGCCTGGTCTACAGAGCTAGTTCCAGGACAGGCTCCAAAGCAATACAGAGAAACCCTGTCTTTTAAAACAAACAAACAACAACAAAAAAGAATTAGGAATATTCTGCTAGGGGGACCGAGGTGGATTCCATGGTGGGAGAGCGACAAACTTGCTAGGCAGACAGAGCTTAAGTGAGAAGCTTTATTAGAAAGGGAAGGGAGAAGGGAGAGAGGAGGGGAAAGAGAAGAGGGAGGTAGGAAAAGTCCTATCCGGCCCCTCAGAGGAGCAGCAGGGAAAGAGATTGGAAGTAGGTGGAGTTTTTCTTTTAAAGGGTCCTTTCCTTTGCATTTGGTGCAGACTCCTAGTGACATAGCAGCCGTAGGACCCTGGGCTGACCAGGGTACTGCCTGAGTGCATTCTGTCAGGTACCAGGGGCCAGGCGGCATAATGCCCAAATCCTTACAGTGTGTTCCCTTCTTCTGTTGTGTCGCACAGCAACAAAAGCAACAAGAAGAGTAACTTCCAGTCGCCCTGCCAGTATTCTCAGAAACTCAAAAGCTTCTCCTGCCAGGTGGAAATCCTAGAGGGTGACAGAACTTATTACGTAGTGTCACTGTGTGTCTCCAACAGCGTGGGAAGCAAGTCCAGCAGCAACGTTGCGTTTCAGAGTTTGAACGTGGGTAAGCAAGTCCCAGCCCACTGCTGCTTCTGTCTCTTGCCGGCATGCTCCTGGTTTACCCCTGGGAGAGGCAGGAATATGTGCGGATGGGTCTTTTGAGGCATTGCTGACAAGTGGATGGGGGTCTTCTCAAGATGAACATGGATAGGGGTGCTGAGGGGTGATCCAGTGAATGAGTTCTCGCCTAGCAGCTGCAAGGCCCTGAGTTCCATTCCTACTAACTAGATGAGATTTAAACATTTCTGGGGCGTGGCGTGTGCCTGAGGGTGGGGGTCTGCAGAGCCTTGGAGGGTCACTTCTATACCATGCTTGGTGCTGCATAGAAGCCATGTTTCCTCTCCACAGTGCAGCCTGACCCACCTATGAATCTTGTGGTGTCGGCCATACCTGGAAAGCCTCGCTGGCTCAATGTCAGCTGGCAAGACCCCAAGTCCTGGGACTCAACTTACTACATGTTGATGTTTGAACTTCGATACCGACCTGTATGGTCAAAGTCATTCACAGTGTGGCTGGTAAGTCATTTCTTTTCTTTTCTTTTTCTTTTTTTTTTTTTTTTTTTTTTTTTTTTTTTTTTTTTTGGAGACAAAGTTTCACCTGGTAGTATCCTTGAACTCCTGACAATGCTCCTGCCTTAACCTCTTAAGTTCCTAAGTGCTATAATTACTAAAGTGAGCCTCCTTGCCCAGATCAAGGCTATTTCCAAACAGAAAAATGCCCCCTAGACCCTTGAGGGAAGCAGGAAGTGGGTTCTGGGTCTAGCTTTGTACCTTTCCACTTGTCATAGTCTTGGGTGAGCCACTTAATTTTAGGGGTCTTGGCTGTGTCTTTATAAAGTGAGACTAATAATGACAGGCCAGACCCCTTCTGACCTGCCTGCTTGTGGAAACAACAGCGCGGGCTCTGTGTAAAGCAAGAGCTGCAGCTTGCAGGCTTCTGTAACCCAGTGGTTTAAGCCCATATGGCTGAGGACAGCTCCATCTCTCTCAGCCTCCTGTGCGGTGTGAGCCCATCTTCCAGGTGGAGAACAGGGTGGTCAAGGGTGCCCTCTCCCTGTAGCACTTCCCCAGCAGGGCCACTGGCCCTCACCATGTCTCTATCCTCAGCTCCCGGTGGTCCAGCATCAATGCATCATCCGTGATGCCTTGCGAGGAGTGGAGCACGTGGTGCAGCTCCGTGGAAAGGAGGAGTTTGGGATTGGCCAGTGGAGCGAGTGGTCCCCAGAGGTCACGGGCACTCCTTGGATAGGTACCTGGGTCTATGTGGAGGGAGGTTGGGACACATTTCAGCTTATGAGTATATCAGCAGTCTAGTACTATATGGCAAGCCATGCTAAATCAATCCCCTCTTCATGTCATTTCATTGAAAGAACTTACATTTCATTTCTAGAACTTACTATATAGTCAAGAAAAACTTGAATTTCTGATTCTCTGGCCTCCATCTCCCAAGCACTGGGTCACTCCGTGTGCAACAATTCCATACTCTATTTGCCCAAGTCTGTAAGGTTGTCTATGTGTCTTACAAGAATCACTAATGCTGCTGCTCTCAGACCTGGAGGGTCAAGGTCTAGCTGCACTCATATGCTTGGTGGAATTCACTGGAGTCTGGGCCCTTTTCTCCTTACACGTCTTCCTTCCTTCTAGTAGGTGAGCCTCAACTGGGGGCAGCAGGGGTGCAGGAGGATGGGAGGATCTCCAAAGAATTATAGGTGTGGTTAATTGACTGATGATATTTATCTTTAGGAAGTGATAAAGTGGTAATGTTTTGGGGGAATTATTGAAATCTCCCAAAGCATGTATGTGAGTCACCTCTCACTGCTAATGACAAAAGTCTAAACAAGTCAGCTTAAGGGGAAAAAGATTCTTTAGACTCGGGGTTTCAGAAGACTGGGCCGGTTGGCTTGTTCCATTGCTTTGAGTCTGAGGTGGAACAGATCCCAGCTGCCAACCTCTGGGCATGGAAGCCCAAAGCAGTAGAAACAGGCTAGGACAAGATGTGCTCTTCGAGGGTATACCCAGTAACCTGCTTCCTCCAATTAGGCCCTACCTCCCAGTCTGTCAAATTATGATTCCAAATCAGGTGTGATGGTACACCCCTTTAATCCCAGCACTCAGGGGGCAGAGGCAGGTGGATCTCTGACTTTGAGGCTAGCCTGATCTACAGAGTGAGTTCTAGGACAGCTTGAGCTACACAGTGAGAGACTGTCTTGAACAACAACAACAACAATAATTATTTGAAGAGAGGTTAAGTCAGAGGCGAAGCCTACAGCATGCAGGTGTCGGGTATATTTCATGCTTCTGATAAAACAAATTCCAGAAAGATATAAAGATAATAAGTTCAGCAGTTTGTTTTGCTTCAGGGCTCAATAGGTAACCCAAGGTGGCCTCACTCAGCCTTAACCTCCCAATTTGAAAGATTACAGGCATGTGCCACTACTTCCATCTTCTGAAATTTTCATCAAGTGTCCAGGGGAAAGAGGTACTCACAGACTCATGACTCTGCCCATCCACTGATACCCGCCTTCCTGGACTAGTTCCATTTGGAGAGCATCTACTTCTGCTAATGTCCTTCTTAACTCAAGACCTGGGACTTAACTTCTCTTTTTTGCTTCCTGATAAAACCCATTTGAGATGCCATCTACTGGTACCTTGCTGTGAAGAAGGCAGGAATCTCCCTTACCATAACGAGAGAGAGAGATCACTCTGCTCTTACGTGGATGCCTCCAGCCTCCTGGAGATACAGCGTCCATCACTCCTGGTAGCAGGGCATCTCATTGTCTTCAGCATTTACTCTAGAGCAGCGTCCAGGCTCACGCTAGAGTTACATCTCCCCAGTCCTATAGCATACTTGAACCAAGCTAGTCATGCTTACATTTTAGCTAGAAAACTTTTATCTTCAATTTCGATGATTAGCAATTTCCCATCCACGGCCCCCACCCTACTACCATTGTCAACAATCCCTTACTCACCATCTCACCTTGTTAAAAAGAATTAGGTTCAATCTCTCTTCCCTTCAAAAGACCTGCTCCTATACCATTTGCCATAGCTCCTTTTGAACAAAGCTTGCTTACCCACCCCCCAAGACAGGGTTTCTCTGTGTAACAGCCCTGGCTGTCCAGGAATTTACTCTGTAGACCAGGCTGGCCTCAAACTCAGATCCACCTGCCTCTGCTTCCCAAATGCTGGTGGCTAATAACCACCTGTAACATCAGCACCCTCTTCTGGCTTCTGTACAGCATGGACACAAACACACACAGGCATACACGCACATTTATCAACAACATTGACCCCTATTGTTTTCTTTGCCGTGCTGGGAGACCCAGGGTTTTACATCTAACACCAATTTACATCCCCAGCCCAGTGCAAACACGGTTTCTTCAAAAATATTTTTGGCTAGGAGTGATAGAGGCAGAAGCACTCTGTGAGTTCAAGGTCAGCCTGATCTACATAGTGAGAGCCTGTTTCAAAACAAACAACTGCAACAAAAACCCACAATTATTTTTCATTCTGGTACAATGTGCATGACATAAAATTTACTTTAAAAACTTTTGCAGATTTCTGAGGTAGGGCCTCATTATGTAGTCTAGGCTGCCCTGAACTCCTTTTATATAGCTTCCCGAGTACTAGGATTACAGGCACCACCACCCCTTGTTATTATAACCGTGTGTGTGTGTGTGTGTGTGTGTGTGTGTGTGTGTGTGTGTGTGTATGTGTGTGCAGGCCAGAGGTCAACCTGCTGTGTTGTTCCTTGTGTACTATTCCTCCTCATTTTTTGTTACACTCTTTCTCATTGACCCGGTGCTTGCTGAGTGGGTTAGGCTGTTTGAGCAGAGAGCCCCCGGGATGCTCCTGGCCCCATCTCCCTAACCCCCGGAGCTGAGATCACACAGCCATGCTTCCACACCTGTTTTGTTTTTTTCTGATGTGGTTTCTGGGGGATTGAATTCAGGCTCTCAGGCTTGCAAGGCCAGCCCTGATTTTAACTATTGTTAGTAGTAAGTACATTCATAATGTCGACCACCATTCTCCACCACCCATCTCTAGACCCTTTGCGTCTTGCAGAATTGGAATCCCATGCCCTTAAAGAGTCACTTCCTATTCCCCTCCCTCTTCCCTGGCTCCTGGCAATGTGCATTCTACTTTCTGTTTCTGAATTTGTTTTAAACACTTCAAGTAAGTGGGGTTGTACGGAAACCTTTGTGTCTGACTTTTCTCACTCAGCGCTGTGCCTTCAAGGTCCATTCAAGCTGTGGCGTGGGCCAGCATTTCCTTCCTGGTGGAGACTGGGGAGAGCGAGCATCTTGCTGTACACAAACATCATGCCACATTTCTCAGAATTTGATGGTAGACGCTTGAGCTGCCTCTGCCTCTTGGTTGGTGACGCTGCTGGCTACTGGAATTTTGTTCTTCTGTGTATGTATGCAGAAGACTGTCAGTGGGGCTGCTTACTGTGTTGCACAGCAACTCTGGTTTTAATGTTTAAGGGATGGTCACACAGCTTTCTGTAGTGGCTGTTCCACTTGAGGTTACTTGAGCGTTCACAAAGGTTTCTGCACTCCTTTTGAGACAGGGTATAACTGTTTTGGACACCAGGCTGGCTTCAGCTCATAGAGGTCCACCTCTATGGGATTAAAAACCTTCCATTTTCCCCTCAGTTTATTAATACTAGTGTTCTATCCATATAAATCTCTGTCTCTTTCTTGTGTTCTCGTGTGTGTGTGTGTGTGTGTGTGTGTGTGTGTGTGTGTGTGTGTGTGTGTGTTTCCCGGGCTGACCTCAAGTCTTCTTGTCTCAGCCACTTTTGTAGCTAGAACTACAAGTGTCTACCCTGTCCATTTTTCTTTAGTAGTTGCCGTTCTAATTTGTTTTGCTGAGGCAGGGCCTACAAGCACGCATCACCACACTCCACTCCACTATTTGTCTCCTTTGGAGGTGGAAAGGTCTTTCTTATGTCAGCCCAGCATTGTCCTGGATGACCCCACTCTGCCCTTGGGAGTAACCACAGGAAGCCTCCCCGTGCTCTCTGAACTCTCCTGCGGTTCCTGGAGGACCTGCATCTGCTTGGGCTGCTCCCACTTTTAGCCTGTTGACTGTCTGGGATGGGATCCTCACCTGTTCGGTCTCTCAGCCTTGAATCTCTGGAAGGTGGCGTCCAGGGGTATGTCAGTGGTGAAGACCACCTGGATAGCAGGTCCAGGCTTGGACTTTACAGCTGAGGACTCCATGCACAAGTGACCATGTGCCTCCTCACACAAGCCAGAGAGTGAGCTCAGGTCCTGGGCAGCGTGGTGGGGAGGCAGTCTAACCTGGCAGTAGGTCTTAAGAGGGAAGCCTCTTCGGTCCTGCCCAGGGGCACAGCAGAGGGACTGGGATGCTTCTCAGGCAAGAGGGGTTAGGCTGGAAAATGGCAGTTGGTTTTTGAAATGAGACAGAGACTGGAGCGGGAGGTGAGGCCCACTCATGGTGCATACAGCTCCTTGGCTGCTGGGCTGCACTGATGCATTAGATACTATATTTTGGTGGCTTCCTGACCGCTAGGGCCTTTAGTTCTCCAGCTCCCAACAAAAAGAAGCTCCCTGCCCCCCTTACAGCCTAGGTAGGGGTGATGACTGAAGACACAGAAGTCATAGGAGGCATGTTGCACATGGGGATCAGGTTGGGTGTTCTTGTCAAAGGTGATTAACATCTTGGGGCCTTAGCCTTGTCCTCTGTGAAGTAGAGATGGTACTTCAGGAGCTTCTGAGTCCAGTGTACAAACAGTCTTCAGAGAAGGAGTGTGGGAAGCATGGATGGGGTTAGCAAGGTGGGGTGGGCTGGGCTGGGCGGTGTCAAAGGTGATCCCAGTGCAGTGGGTGTTGGGTGGGGAGGGAGGGGCTTGGACACCTCAAAGGTGCTCTCCTGGGTGCCACCCTTAGCCTACTGAGTCAGAATCTGGAGGGGTAAAGGAAGTGGGTAGTTAAAAAAAAATCTTTCGTGGTGATTTACTGTGGGGTGGGTGATAGAAGAGCATGGGCTCACAGGTCTGTTACGAGGCTGGGTGGTCGCTGTGGGGCAGGCCCTCTCAGGCTGTGGGAGAGGAGTGAGAGGAAAGGGCTTGGGAGCTTGAGAGTTCAGGTGCTACACCCTGGGGTTGTGGACCCAGCACTGCTTTCTGTGTAGGGAGGGGGCAGTCTTAGCCTCACACTGTTTTGGCCACTGCCATCAGCCCCTGGAGCAGTGACTCTTAGAGATGAGGCTGGAGCCCTTAGT